AGAGTAAACTGCCGCGTTTAGCTTTGCCATGCATCGAATATGTACGAGCCTGCGTCACCGTCGGGCAAACTAGGCCAACATTACCAGCAAGACGATGTAAGCGAGGCACGAAGTGGCCATGTCGCCAAGCCTCGCTTCACCACCAAACACTGCAAGCGTCCTTCATCGGATCACTCCACAGATGGAGGAAAATTGAGCTGCCTCACACCCTTTCTTGGTGACACCATTGTCTTCATCTTGGCAAGTCGTCGCGGGTGATCGCTTAGCACAAAGCTGCAGAGGAGGTGATACAGTGTGAGGCTGCCAATTCCTTCGTAAAAATGCGTCAAACTGTTATCCTCGATGTACTTACGTCTCTCCGTCAACTGATCTTCTCGCACACTCTCCACTGCGAGTTCCAACTTCCAGGAGGTCATGGTGAGATACTCTGACACCCCACTGTTCACTAATAGGCGGTGCAGAGTTTCAGTCCATGGAACTAAAATAAAGCGTCCATTTTGTAACACAAGTAAGTCATTTTACACTCAGAACCTCTTACTGGTGCATCAAACAATTTGTAATTGGTGGGTCAAGCAACGGTCATCGCTTTTTCACTGTTAATCTTTCCGATCATGCAAAACAATGCAAAGAGGTGTGTTTTGTGGGTCCTCTCGTGCTATTGCGACGGACCTTCAGGTCATTGTTATCCCCATACTTCACCGTCCTTCAACTTCTTCCATAACCAGCAGTTATTGATGAATTGGATTGGACGGATTGGGTGGTGAATGCTCTGTTCCAGAAATCTGAGAGCTATTTGAGGCTCTTGAAGCATCGCGATGTGGTGCAAGCCTTCCTCCTCACAGTTTCTGCTTTCACCACACACACAGGATGTTGCCCTCGCCTTCCTTTTCCTTTGCGAATGAGTTTGGCATTACCACGTAGTCCCATCTGTTGGTAGTTGCGGGCACGATGGTTAACAACTTATTCCCTACTCACTGGCACATAATGCACGCTTTGTGCGATGCAGAACTGGGCACTTCTGTTGATCAAGTTAAGCATTTTAGTTGTGACTAAAGGTTTAAACACCAAGTCGGTCGACTTGATAAATTCCTTCAAAACGGTTGGACTTTAGACTTGTTAAGTGCGATAATATTTGTGGGTAGGGATATTAACCAAGATTATATTGCTACTCTTCTTTATAAACGTTACGCCTTGATGCACTCTGGCTAACTAGCTATGAAAAGGGAAGAACTGGTTCAGAAAAGGCACAAAGAAGTCGAAAGTGGCCATCAAATCTACTAGGAGTATGTTACAAGGGTAGGTTTTGTCATGCCATCGTAATGGGTTAAACCCACATTTTGTTTATTCACCTATTATTGTTATC